TTTTTTTTATTATCAGGCTGCTTCAAACTTCAGAACAGCCGATAATAAGTTAGTGACACTGATCCTGCAGCAGTTCAGGATTCAGCTGTCAGTGAATGTTTCAGAAAACTTAAACATTCTACTTTCAAGAATAGATACATTATGTGTCTAATACATAACATTTTGTATCTATTCTTGAAAGTCAAAAGATAAAAAAAAAAAAAGCCAGTATAGCTTGAGAGAGATATCTCTCGATCTATACGAGCTGTCAGAATGCCGGCAAAAGCCGACATGTGTGTCTGCTTTGCTGTGACTCTCAGACACCCGATATTAAGGTATCGGGTGTCTGAAAAAGGTTAACCCTTTCAGTAATGGATCTCTAGATAGTAAGACATCCATTACTGAAAGGTAACCGCTGATTCTCAGCGGTTAGCAGCCTTCTAGTGCAGCAAATAACTCGTCACGTACAGTGTACGTGACGAGTCATTTGGTCCCTTTGTGGCTGGACGTACAGTGTACGTCTCCCGTCACGAAGGGGTTAATTAGCTTTCAAGGCTATTAAAAATATGTTAATATGAAATGGGTGCTTCTTCATGTTGGGTAGCAGTTGCAGTGAAAAGAGGTGCTTCCAAATATGTTGTGTGACACTGCACCCCCTCCCCAATGAGTGTACATAATAATAATAATTGGAATTGTAATTTAATAAAGTAAACCTATGAATCGCATACAATCTAGGCACATTTTATGGCTGGTCAGTTATAATGAAAATTATCAAGAAAAGCAGTTAATGAGATGCACAGCTGCCTCTATTGAAAACTGTTAATTGTTTTGTGCCACTACTTATATCACCGTTTCATTTGTGTACAGAGCTTGTTAATATTTCAATTGTTTTTATAGTATGGTATGGTATGGTAGTATGGTATCAAATATTGCAGAAATTTAAAATACTGCAGACATTTCAGAGCAATGGGTCAGTGTCTCTTCCTTCTGTTTTTTTCAAGTCATTGCTCGCAGAGCTATGAAAATTGCTTAACAACACCTTTGCTATGAATGAGGGTTAATTATACCCATGTAGCAGGACACTGAGGGCACCTGAACTGCTCAGAGTTCACTTTATCTCATTTAAATGTACATATACACGGAATTCCACATTTTTTAGTCTGTATTTTTGTTTGGTACTTTATTTAATTAGATTGTTGTCATGTCATTCATTCTATTTTCCACCCTGAAATTGAATTCTTACATTATAATGGTGCTGAAAAATAGCTGTTAGATTAGGAATTCAAAATATCACCAGCTATAGAGGACTACAAATCCCAGCAATAAATTATACAGCAATGCAGAATATTACCACTAACTATAGAGGACTACAAATCCCAGTAATGCATTACAGAACAATGCAGAATACCACCAGCTATAGAGGACTACAAATCCCAGCAACACATTGCAAAAAACTGCACAATAATACCATCAACTATAGAGGACTACAAATCCCAGCAATAGTTTATACAGCAATGCAGAATAA